CTCTCTCTCTCTCTCTCTCTCTCTCTCTCTCTCTCTCTCTCTCTCTCCTGTGTGCCAGTGATTTATGATAAAGATTTGTTTTGCTTGGAGGTGTGGAGAGCTGAGTGAGTCAAGGTGTATCATAGCAGTCATGCCACTCCTCTGCAAAGCTTCACCCAGAGATGCTGCGGCCCTGAACTCAAACTAGCAGTTAGCAGTAAGCTATACTGTACACAACACTGGAGGTGCCAAGACTGTATGAGAGGTGTGACACGAGCATCCGCCTACACTTCAACAATGGAACTGGTATTTGTCATGTGTATAATGTGCTCCTCCCACTCTCACATTATTATTTTCACAGTCAAAGCCATGATAAAAATGGTACAAGTACATACAGCCCTCTGCACAGCATACAGTATGAAAGCATCAATGTAAAATATGCACCAAAGACTGCAAGCGTTGTGACAACAGCTGACATGGAGGAGAACCGACCAAAGCTTTGGCATGTTCCCTGGAATAGGCTGCATTGCAATATATAGACTCCTTTAGACGCCGAATGAGAGGTTTAGTGAAAGCTCCAGATGCCTTCTAGGCTCCTACATGCGCATGTCATAGTGTGTTAGTCTGGCAAAAAGCCATGGGACTCCCATGACAGGACAATCTCACAACCTGGGGCTCCTCACCTGACAGCAAAGCGCAAACCTAATGTTGAAAAGGACTCAGCATACATTGTTTTTTTAAACAGAGAGCCTAGTTAGTTGCATAACGTTACTGGCAATTTGGCAGCACTGTAACTTAGCTTAACATAATTAGGGACAAACTCAATGTAGAAAGATGAGTTGAAAAAGGTTGAAACTCGCTAGCCTATAGCAACATGAAGGAGTTTGTGTCTACATGGTAACCCACAATGCCAGACCTAAACCCTTCGAAGCCAATGAAAAGCAAAGTAACCTAAAGCAGCATTGACAATTTTCATAATAATAAATGTATCAAATGATGGTATGAAGACAATGTGACCGGGGTCGCTCGTAGTGATGAACCGACAGAAAATGATCAACTGAATCTGCAGAACCCCTCTGCTTTACGGAGCTTTATATCTAGTTCCTACATATTGTTTAGCTGTTTGGCCCACAGCTTCACTGTTTTGAGGGGGGGGTGAAGGCAGGGTACAACCTGGACAGGTCACCAGGCTATCACAGGGCTGATTTATATTCATCAGGAGGACAAAAAACGGGTGCAGGTGAATGATAATGTTGCTCTGTAACAACTGTATGTGTAGCAAGCGACTAGTTGTTAACAAGTTCACCATAACTTAAGTTAAATTGGACAAATAAAAACAGTTATTGCAAGTTTAAAGTAACAGGCTCGCTCTGTAACAGGAGCCAGTACTCCCTCTATTCAAAGTGTAAAACTAATTTTATGATTATTAATTGTCTGACCTCCCACAGTATAACCCCACTCCCACACACACACACACACACACGCACGCACACGCACACACTATTTCCAATGTGGTTCCCAGAAGAAAACAACGTAACTGTTAATGAAAGTTATTGATGACTAATGTTTAGCAGCCGTCTGTCATTTAGCCATTACTTCATCGATACGCAAGAGATACTGGAAGATTGAAGCAGTATAAACATTCAGTTGCCACATGAGACTGAACACAAAAGCAAAGCACAGCCGCAGTGACACCGAATGAGCATCGTTATGGGAGCTCAGATCAGCACGAGTCTCGGACAGAGATGGACAGACTCATTCCCCGGCTCACCGCTGTCTGCAATCGATCCAGGCAGAAACAATTATCCTCCAGTATACATACATCAACAATGCATGCCAGCAGGATGTTGTTAAACCCACTAACAGCACTGGTTTATTCTGTGATCACTATGTATGCCAGCAAGCATGAACAGTTACAGTATGCGGTTCAGGTAGCTCTGTTTGTATTCAGCTTGCTTATTTCCACAGACAAGGATTGAGATTAGATGTTAATGAAGGGATATTAAAAACAGAATTGATCTTGCAGTTTTGTCAACAGGTAATACGATCCATTAATAAGTCATACAGAGTATTTACCAAGCGTTTAGTGGCATTAATCACAGCCACTGCTGGCTATGCAGGTAGCCCTCTCACACATATGCTTCCACATTAGTCACCTCCATCGAGGAGTGCTACAAAATCGTATCCAGTCAGAGCTGGATAGGATACTTCTTATTGAGAGCTGGATAAGATACTCAGTATCTCATATCCTCTTAAAAGAACACAAGCAAGCCTCTTCTGTATGAACGGTAAGCCCCCTGTGCTAGCCAAAACAAGACTGGGGATGTAGCTTCTGTAGAGGACATTTGTGGAAAAATATGCAGAAAATGGCCTCCATGATTTGTGGCTACATTTGGTCTGTCTATTAGATCCCCTTGGACTCATTAATCCTGAGCCTGTGTTGGCATGATATTCAAGTTGCTGGTAGAGGAGTGAGAGAGTCAGTGCAGATTAAATATTTCCTATTTCAACATGGGCCTACATCTGTCTCACAAGGACGAGACACTTCAAATGAGAGAGCATTTAATGCAATTTGATAGCATGTCAATCATAAAGAATATGTAACTATTGAAAGGTGTTACAATAAAGTAGAGTTAGTAAATATTGCACGGGGGCAATTTACACATTTGTGTCAGTATTTTTCCCACAATCAGTCTTCGGCCGTCACAAGCTGTCAGAAAAGTTTCAATGCCCCAAGGCCAGAATCATGAGCCTGATCCTTGATCTCTAAGTGATGGTTGGATGAACAGCATTTTACAGGCAGCTGCAACAATAACAGAGCGGCCCGGAAGATGCCTGAGCCAGCTGTGCATGGGTACAAACACATGTCTTGTTATAATATTATAGTGAATACTGAGTAGTGAGTCTTAAATTGAATGATTAGCTCAAGGGAAGAACTGTCTGATCACAAGAGAATGGACACTTAGGGCATGAAATTGGATAAAAATGAAATAACTTTAAAACTAGACATAAAACTGAGAACAAGTCTTCATTTGTCAGAGGAGAGATTGCTTTTGTTTTGAAGGATAAGGTGGTGATATTCTATATTTTTCTTTAGAGCTGAAACTATAAATGGATCAACAGAAAGACTACAATTTCAAGGAAAAACTCACCATACCGTATCTGGTTCTCTACTATGAGAATTTGCTGCTTTTCTCTGTTTCATATTCAAATATATGTATTTTTTATTAAATGAAACTAACCATTTGTTCGCTGTCCTAAAGACAGCACAAACACAATATCGTTAACACAAGTTTGTAAGTTTTCTAACAACTGAGGATTTCTTTCTGCTGTGGAATCGTGGGTAGTGAGCTGTGCACATATGCATACTGAATGAAAAACACATATACACAAAGGAACATAACCTCACAAACACACCACTATGAATATTCAATGCCAAGTACTGCACAATAAATGGTAAAACATTCCACAGTCTGCTTCAAATGTGATCATTAGGACACCATCTGTCTGCAGTGACATTTGCATGGCTGCTCAAAACTGCAGGTATGCTGTCACAGAATCTGTCTTGGACAAGTGAATAAAGAAGCCATGGGGTACATCACTGTGTGCATGTTGTATACTGCTGCAGTGCAGATACACAACACAGCTTTAGACAGGTCAATCCTACTCACTCTACACAAAATCTCACCAAACATGTTTGTTTTTTTATCTGCTTTTACCCTCGACTACTCCAACTTCCCGTCACATCTTATTGCTACAAACACAGCAGCATGACTCTGAGCGAGGTTTCTCGTGCACTGTAGTCACATGACAGTTTCCCTAACTCCAGCAATCACTTAAGCATGTGTGCTGCTCACGAGAGTTTGAGGCACCCCGTGGGAATATTATTATTGGAGTCTAAATATGGCTGAGTCATGATTTCATTCGACTCTTGAATCCAAGTGTGCTCAGATGAATATTAATTAAATACCTCAAATTTGCATGAACATGAAGAAGATCATATATTCGTGTGTTTTATGCTAACATTGTTTATGGAAATAATGCCGCATCCATACACTAAAAAAGAACAGGTTAGAGCTGTGTGCGCACTACATAAGCAGACATATTTAACTTGTAATAGAGCTCATTGTAATATTTCTAAATACAGCAACGGCTGGTACAAACCCCACACATCCAGGCCAAACAGGCCGGTCAAAGTCCCCAGTCGGTTCAGGCTCCCGATTGACACCTGCTTTAAACGACGTGACAGTAAACACTGGCTCATTCAGCGCTAAAAACAACACACAAACAACACATTGATCCATATCTGCACTGCACATGGATCAATCACAAGCAGCAATGTGGGTGTGGACGAGCGGCATCACCGGCTGTCATCATGCAGCAATGAACGCCACCGTAGTGACTTAAACGCACAAACAGGCCTGGAGTCTGGCTAATGGCAACAGCGGTGCTCTCTCGGGGGAAAGGGGCGACAGCCTGGCATGTACCCGATCTCCTGTTTTCTCAGCAGCACTGGCTCAATCGCTGGACTGCACTCGTTGCGTAAATGTGTTGCACAGGAGCAGCGGAGTCAATGAAGCGATAATTGAAAACATACACACAAAACACACGCCGACGAAATTGCGATCGGAAGAGGGGGTTACGAAAATGACATAAATGTGCGTCTCACTCACCTCGCAATCTTCTCCCCATTTTTTCTTTCCACTTCGACCAAGGAACCGCTCGAGCCTTCACTGACGTCACGCAGCCCCTCTCTGCAGCAGAGAGCAGCAGGCCCGCAGAGGACGACCAGGGAGGAGGAGGGAGAGAGAGAGAGAGAGAGACAGAGAGAGAGAGAGAGAATGCATGAACAGATGAATCATAGAAAAAAAAAGAAAACATCCCTCCCATCATCTGATTAAGGAGAGGATACTGTACTGTACCTGTGAGGTTGTTGAGACAGGGGACAGACAGGCAAACAGCATCTAGCTCAGAATTGCAAGCTGTTAAAACAATTTGGTCCTGCCAGCTGATGCTTTGTGATCAATAGACATCAAGTAAAGGGGGGAGGGATTGGGAAACATCATCCATGTGTCATGGCTTTTCCTGTTTATCATCCTGTCAATCATCCAAACAAAGACAAATGCTAGAAGAATTGAGTACATCAATTTAAAATGTAAAAGTATTATTTTATTTATTCAACATAATTTAACAGATGTTTCAGTCACCGGCTGTAGATAAATAACTTTTATCGTAAATTAAATCTATTTTCCAGTCACTTTTCCAACTAACATTGTGCTCATTAGAACTGCAAAACACACAGATATGGTGTCAGCTGCGTGCTGTTTATTTCTTTGTGGGTCCTTGAAAAGACTCTGGGCTTTGCAAGGTGTTAATGTGAAGGTTATAACTCTTGCAACTCATCAGACACCAACTTATTATGTGGTGACAGAAAAGAGAATAAAATAAAAAACAAGTTCACAAAACTACAAATCTGCTCCCAGCGCTTTATTCTCCAGCTGATGTTTTGGATGTTTTCTGTACTAGTGATTAAAAAAAGTTGCTGTATGTATTTACATTGACTAGTATTTGCATAATATAGCATAAATCACTTTAAATTTAATTTAAAACTATGATGCAAATGTAATCCTTGAGTTTCCTTGAGAAAGCCTCTTCTGTGATGCTACATTTAGGATTAAGCATGTAAAGCAACCGACCTCCCAGTGAAGAAAACCTGAATATATGGTGAATGCAGAAGAATTGGATGGTCATTTCAATTATTTAAATTGATGTGAATCAACCAACAAGATTTTTTTTAAATTGTGAAATCCAAAATCTCATGTAATCTGAGACTATTTTGTCCTATTGGGTTCCTGTTATTAAACAAACCGTCACACATGTGTTTCTTAAAGTATTTGGATAAGCATATCTTATTTGAGAAGCAAATCAGGGGCATGAGAGTGAACATTTGCAGCACTTTCTGATAATAGCTTACTAAAGGTTGTGATTGGATGAAGAAAGCAATTATACCTCAACTGTTGGATTCTGTATGATGTGTTAATGTCTGAGTTAATGTACATTAACAGGAGATGCGAAATCCTCCTTTTCATTGGTAAAAATTCTCAGCTTTAACAAGATGATGCTGAATACCTCAGAGTGAAGGTACAGTGTCAGGTTTGATTTTACTGTCGTTTAAAAAAATAATTCAGACAGTGAGAGTTGCAGTATCCCCAGAAATCCCATTTAGGAGCTCAAGCACCCCTTACTGGTCAAAGACAAGAAGTACACTGCCATTTGACAATACTGTGATTGTACACATCAGAATATAACAACTGAAATATATAAATTAACACGGCTTGGTACACGTGATAAATTGAAATGGTATCAAGTGAAAATTGTGATCAAGTTTACTTTGCAACACACACACAAGTCCCTCTAATGAGGAAAATCTGATTTGTTTTGAATGAAGTACTGGCTTTTAAACACACAACTGTTTGTTAGAAATCACTTTTTTTAGATTCAGTATGTTAACAGACATACATTTAGCTGTAAGTGACCAACAAATCATGATACAGAACAAACCCAAAGCTAAAAAAATCATTGTAAAAACCATCATAAATCATCATTATCATTGCAACACATTTCAGCATGACAGTTCTCAACATAAAGTGACAAAAATACAATGAAGTACAACAGACAACAACCCATTTTGGTATGGCGTCTACATCAGGATGCCAAATGATAAAAGACTTTTTCCTTCTTATTCCACAGTGATGTCTAGACGTGTATAAACCCTGGCTTCATTTTGAAATAGCAATTAAAAAGTCCAAACCTTTTTTTGTCTTCAGTACACAGAACATTAAGGTGTCAAATGGTCCGTAATTCTTACTCCTGCACCTGACAAATTATTCATGCCAAATGTCAACATTTTCCTCACTAAGTTTCTCAGTAAAACTTGCAGGAGATCAAAGATACAGCGTGTTCTTTATGGCCAAAGAGTATTATATTTTAAAGCTTTTCTTACTGTGATAAATACAGTACTATACTCCTTCGGTTGGCAGCACGCTGCTCAAAAATGATTATTTTTAAATATCAAAGTGTATGCACGGGAAACACACAGAGACAAATCTGTTATTTTGTTGTTGCGGTAGAATTAAAACTTTGGCATTTTGAAAATCCTCAGTAAAATATGTATGATGCAGAAAATATTATTTATTTATTCGTGTGAATAACCAAAGCATTTGTGAGTCTTGTCATTTATGATCTTCTTAACTAATGTCAGCTTAGGGGGTTGTTGAATAGCTTAATAATCTTTATTTAGCTAATATGCAAGGTCAATCCTGCACATAATAATAATACTTTTAATAGAACTTCATTATTCATGATTAAGGATGCAAGGATTGTTAGACAGCTCTCTTTTTACTACACTGGTGTTGTCAAAACGATATCAGATAATGCATGGACCCATTCAGCTGTGCTTTATAGTCATTTTTGAGCAGCCAATGGGGATTTATTCCACCTTATGTCGGGCCTAACATTGTCTCTAAGCTGTTCAAAAGCCATGTATCCTTTACAACAAGGAGGTAGATACACACAATCTATCTCCATGATTAAATAAGTATTAATTGAGGATTATAGTTCCTGATGACAAAATAACCTTTTATATAGTTAATTAGAAATGTAAGTATAGAATACTGGTTATGATCAAGCCTACTTTGGCATTAAGAGTACTCTCCATAGATGCTAAGTGACGAATATGCAGCAGTATAAGTGGTGCTTTTCATATTTCCATTAATATTCAAATCAACTTGACGACAACCAATCACTGGTGTATCTTTCTGTTTCATAGCCATACTGCCTGCTTTACCCTTGAGATGTTCCTGCATATCTCAGTTAACAGCTGTTTCTAAAAAAAAATATATATATATATAACCCCTTTCATAATTAAAAAAGAAAGTAAAAATCCAAACCTGTTACATCAATCTCTACCCCTCTACGCCCTCTACATGCCGCTCTCATCCAGTCATGACAGGGAAAGACTGACACACAAAAGCTTAAAAACTCTCTCCCTCAGGAGAATTTGATAGGATGAATATGATGCTAGGCCGTTTTCTCGTTCTCACGTCAAAAACCGTGGCAAATTTAGACCAAACACCTTTATCCATCCCTCCTCATTCATATTTATGAGAAGTGACTGACAAACTCATTGTCTGGTAATTACAGTGTGGTGAACCTTCATTGTTTTAGATTGGTAGAGACTGAGACACGCTGTGCTTTGGCTTGCTGCACTAATGCAAACCTCTTCCATGTAGATATTATTAGTCACTGTTTGCTTAGCAACCACAACACATGTCTGATTTTTATTTTTTTTTTTTTTACAAAGAAAAGGTTTTGCACAGAGTTTATTTTATTTCGGCTGCAATGTTTTTTTGAAAGGGTGAAAAGGAGAAGAAGACTTAAAGGACACAGGAACATTATTTTCTCATTATTGTGTGTGACTCAACATTAGTCATTTAACACTTGTGTTGGTGATGCCAACATCAGATGTGAAATCAATGGAGGGTACAAACCTGTAGAAGCAACCTCACATGATCACACTCTCAATAAAACCATCTTAAAGGACCACCTTCAATTTAACAATTTTGGGACACTACTTATCCCTTCCTACTTAATAAGTAGTGATTATTATATTCTCAAAAGAAATGTCTGTCTCATCTAAAAATCAATGCAACTCAATAGGTTGTGTTGGACTAACCCACCCTTAAAATAACCTGCAGCTGTATATGATATAGCAACAACAATATATTAACAAAAAAACAGAGAGAAAGCAGTTAAAGATTTGAACAGCAGGGGGCACCAGTAAATTGCAAGGATTAAACATTAGAACAGTAACTGAAAGAAATAGAGTCAGAACAAGATAAAATCAAATCTTAGATTTGTTTGTAATTGTTTGTGTAGACATTGTGTCTTGATGGATGATTGTTATCTTTTTTATCAGCCTGTATTTTTCTTATTTCTATCAAATCAGACATGCATAATGCTAAAAAATGATTAGCTGAATAGTGTAATATGTATATAGGATCTGACTGCCATCAAATCTTCTGTAAACATCAAAGAGAAATTTCACAAAGCTAAACTCAATGATCACAGACTTCACACGAATGCACAATGACCGGCAGCCTGGCTTCCTCAAATGATGAGGAATTCTACTTCAGTAAGTCAAATCAGCTTTTGCCGTCTGTTAACACTCAGAGTAACACAATAGAACAACATACAAGCCTATGGGAGTTCAGCCAATATCAATATATCACCTCAAGTGCCAATTATACTCATTAAAGGTCTAAAATGTGATGAAACTGCAGGCTAACAGCTTGGAAATCATTATCACACTCACTGCACAGCAATGCAACTCAACTGTAAGTGTGCAATTTATCACCAGACAGTCCAGCTATGAAAATGAGTGTGTGCAGTCACACAAGAGAGGCCAAATACATAAATAAAAAACATTTTGATTTCCGTGAATAAAAACAGCAAACTGCTGTTGATACTTACAGTTGTCGCTTAACAAATTGATCAGTATTCTGCAGAAATGTACAATGTCAACTATAGTGAGGAATTATTATCTAATTTTCTACTGATACAAACATATATTTTAAAAGCTTGATGGTTTCGGTCCAACGTTGTTTCTTGATGTTTCAGACAGTGCAAGCTTTCATTTTCACATTAAGAAAATCAAAACTAGAAAATCAACGTTTTTTTTTTTTTAACTCACTGTTTGAATTTATTTGTCAAATTAAAATG